GGTAGCATAGTGGCTAAAGCACTTGACTGCTAACCAGAAGGCTGGCGGTTCAAACCCACCAGCCACTCCTCGGAAGGAAGGTTGGGCAATCCTACTTCGGTAGTGATACTGCCTTGCAAACCCAAAGAGGGGTCGCTATGAGTCAGGGCTGACTCAACGGCACACAACAACAACAACAACAACACTTACGCCCTCCCTCATCTTTCCTCTCAAACTCACCGGGGATAATTCAGCAAGAAATGCAAATCTTCATTCTTTTCGTCCTACACTGTTCTTTTTTTTTCTTATGGCAGATTACAAAGAACTGATCGCGAATAAAGAGAAACAGCATCAAAAAAGAAATTTTCTTCTCTGTCTAGTAGTAAATAACTGCCCTGTTAAGAAACTGGGGCTATTCCCACCAAAAGGAAAAGTTAAATACGTGTTTTCAAAACTAAATCTCTGAGTGTGTGTGTGTGTGGGGGGGGGGGTGCAGTACAGATAATCTTCTACATAAGGGTCTAGCCAGAGGGAAAGTATGAAATGCTTTTCTAACAAACTACCGTCTCTTGGACATACAATCCCAACATGCATAGTCCCGTTACAGCATTTCCTTTAACTAGCACGGATTGAGAAACGTGAAAAGGCAATTCTTCCTCATGGCACGGCCTTGGCAATGTATGATTACTTCTAATGAGGACATGTCCACATTTTAGCAGACTTTGTATCTGATGAAATTACCATTTGTTCTTTTAGGAACATGCTCTCTTTGCAGCTCTTATATAGCAGTCTTTTATTTTTTGCTTAGGATGTGTCTCCTATTGGTACAAGTAGTAATTTTTTTAAAAAAAAAACTTTTTAAAAATTACTGGTTCACATTGAATTCCTGGACATTATAGTTCAGCATGAATATCTCTGCATGGTGTAAAACAAGTACAGTGCCATTCTAAATACACAACAAAGATATGTTTTATGGAAAACTATACTTTGCATCTACACAAACAGCCTATCTTGTCCAAACATAGGCCAAAATTAAATACAAAAGCTTCAAAACAGGAGAAACTGCTTCAGTTAAACTATTCCAGGAAAAATGAACCCAGTTAATTTGCACATCTAAAGATAAGACCTCTTAACTCTTTGCTTCAATTTCTTGTTAGAATTCACCTGCATTAACTCTTCAGTAAAGCAGCTTTCGTATTACACCCGTTTAGAGAAAAGCTTCATGTCCTCTATGCTGACTTGGAAGCTGCAGCGACTTTCTCTTGGTCTACTGGCTTCTAGATAGGAGATGCTGGTTCATTGGGCACTGCTCTTTTATGTTAGTCTGTATCAATTACACTTTAAAACGAACCTGCTGCTCTAGAGAGAGAGGGCTGGTTAATGAAGTGGAAAATGACTCCAAAGGGTCTTTCACAATCTAGCCTGTTGAAAGCACTAGATCCTCCCACCGCCAAGGGCCCAGAGGAAACCCTTTTCTAGTACTACTGGACCGATTCTTGACATCACTCATCTAAAAGAGAAAAAAGTCATCGCAAAAGAACTGTCCATTTTCAATCAAGCTTGCTTCATTTTTCATCAAAATACAGTGAAAATTATTTCCTTCCAATTACCAAAAAGGCTGAATTTTTGTTACATTTTCAAAGAAATATTGTCTGAATAGCTTAACTTCCTTTTTTTTTTTTATTATAGCTGACTTTGTTATCTAGATAAACATTAGCATAAGCATTTACTTCAAAACAGAAAACCAAAGGAAAGAATACAGAATCATTATGCAAGTAATGCTATAAGCTTTGCAACTGAACTGTGATAGTTGTTTCTCATATGTACTTCTGGGGAAAAACAACATTAATATAATTTTATTAACCGATTTTCTCCTCCAAACCATCTCCCACACTAAGACTTTTCTTGTTAAGAAGCTACTACCCAGGTTATGGCTACTAAATCTCCCCCTCAAGTTTCTGGAAAGGCTTTTTTCACAGAAATAAACACTATAAGTATTTCACTGAGCATCTTCTGTTATTTATTGTATACTTATGAGTTAACATGAGAAAGCTTTTTGACGCAGATGTTTTCACTCATTAGACATTTGCAGAATTTTAGTAGATCACATGTTGAAAGTCTCCCAGGAAAGACAAGGTCTTGTCCTGGGGGGTGGTCCATCTTCTTTATCATCATCTTCAACTGCTGGATCATCTACTACATCAGCCCCTCTGCTACTGCTTGGACTACTAGCAACTCCTGCAGAATGGGAGGAGGCAAACGTGAAGCCACCAGGTGTACGTCTCGAAAGGTCAGCCTTGTCTTCTTGGACTTCTGCTTGTTTCACCTTCACTGCTTCATCAGAACAACTTGGAAAATGATCTTCTGGCTCAGAAGTTTCCAGTGGTGGCATAAGCACTTCTCCATCCTCTTTATCTTCCTTAAAAGACATTTCTTCCATTTCCCAGAATGCTTCAGCACCTTCACAAAGTACCTTGGTATGCTGCATAGAACGTAAATTCTGTATTTTACTCAGTCTCCTAATCTCTCGTTCATATTCAATCTTCAGTCCCTCGAATGTTTGAACATATTTAGTGGATTCAAGTGCCTTGTAAAACTTTTC